ACAACAAACTTTAACACATGCAACAATTCCTGTACCTGCTCACTAAAAATGCTCACATGTCAGGCCTTAAACATGCTTTGCACAAAAATGCAAATGCCAGTAAGATTCTCCTGCTCTACTGTTGTTCTGCTATGACAGTAGTTGACCTGTAAAAGAAAACAGATAGAAGAAGAGAATTTAATTTAAATCTCGCTATAGCACCTCTTCAGGTAATTCAGAGAATGCAACAATTCACGATGCACAAAATCTCATTGCTTTAAGCACGTGTACATGTTCCAGTATTATTTATGTACTATTATAGTATTTATTTATATTTTTTAATTTTTAATAATTTACTTTTGTTTTAGTTATTTTAGCACTTAAACTCAAAACTATTTAGCCTATTTCAGTGTCTAGGTTTGAGTTTTTCCATATTTTAGCTTTATTTGAATGACTGAAACTTAACTTCAGTTTAAGTTTTGACTCAAAAACAACACTGACATGTTTCACATGTTTCATGTAATAAGAGCACATCAATATTCATGTTTATGGGCAATGCACAAATAACAAAATCAATATTGATTTGTGAATGAGTGTCATGGGGAAAAAGCTGGCCTCCTATGATTCCCATTCACTTCCCTTCAAGCGTATTCCTGAGCCTGACGTCCATGACAGAAAAATTGACTAATAACATACCGAGAAATCAATTTGAAACGTTGTCGGCTCTCTTGCACGTAAACTAGGTCACATTTTCCAGAGAAGCAGAGGCTTCAGAAGAGTTTTTTTCTCCAGGACATGTTTGTGCCAATTCGCACTTTCGCAAGTTGTTCTTCAGCCTATAACTTCCTCTCTTCATTTATGTAAATAACTTAGTCTTAAAGGGTTAGTTCACCCCAAAATGTAAATTCTGTCAGTAATTACTCACCCTCATGTTGTTCCAACCCCGTAAGACTTTCGTTCATCTTCGTAACACAAATTAAGATATTTTGGATTAAATCTGAGAGCTGGATCACTCCTCCATAGGCTTCTTAAGGGATCGAAACTGGCCGGCCCAGAAAAGTTATTAAAGACATCGTTAAAATAGTCCGAGTGACTACAGTGTCTCAATCTTAAGTTTATCAAGCGACGAGAATACTTTTTGTGCGCAAAAAACAAACAAAAATAACGACTTTATTCAACTATTCATTTCCTTCTCTGTGGGCCTTGAGATTTCACGTAGTGATATTGCGCAGCGCTTCTGTGTTGTACGTCACACACATCACACACATGACCAGCGTCGGCCAATAGTGAGCCTACGTGTGACGTACAACACAGAAGCGCTGCGCTGTTACACTACGTGAAATCTCACGGCCCACAGAGAAGGAAATGAATAGTTGAATAAAGTCGTTATTTTTGTTTGTTTTTTGCGCACAAAAAGTATTCTCGTCGCTTGATAAACTTAAGATTGAGCCACTGTAGTCACTCGGACAACTTTAACGATAAAAATATAGTACTAAAAATCCGAAAAGTTCTAAAAGTTTACACCACAACTATAACAATAACGGAAAAGAGAAACGATATTGCATCACTTTCCGAACGATCTTTTCCAGCTGATCAATCATCTATCCTGCTTTAAGAGTTCGAACATTTAAAGCGACAGACGACAAAACCGCGGCGCGTGCTTGCAATAAACAGAATGTTATCATTTGTTAGTGTGTAATATAAGTAATATAGTTATGGTTCTTGGTGTGAATGGGCCTTTAGTCCATGTAATAATGTTAAAATTGGCTCAAAATTCATTCTCAGAACCAATTTTCCCTCTTGTAATTTACTTTCTTTTAATATGAAAATCTCAATATATTTTTGATTCATGGGAAAGCATATGCATAAGCACCTCTAGGCTATTTTACTTTCCCCACACTTCTAAAATTTCTGTACGCATTATGCTTGTATATTATATGGGGGGATGAAAGTGCCGGTAATCTCCTGAAATCTATGAACAAGCAGAAAAGTACAGCTGAGAGTTTCTCAGGACGCGTCTCCTGTGGCCTAGAGGCTAGGCTGCATAAATAACCAACACATTTTCTTCCCACGTTCAGCTATTCCCTAAAAAAATCACAGCTACAGCTTATTTGAAAGGAAAGCCACTAAAGAGTATAGTCCAGTTGCCTTTCACTCAGACATCAAACGATAACAAATGGGCAATTGTGCCACATCAGAGAAGAAGCTCAGGTGAGGAGGTCAACACTTCCCTCTGTCACAGCTAACATTTGTTCACCGTAGTAATTGTATTTGTGTCTGTGTGTGTCTCTGTATCATGGGAACCTACACCTGGCCTCAGGCGGCTCTGTGTTTAAGGTAAAAGGCATATGCATGTGTTTGTGCGGGGATCTTCCAGATGGACCCGTTGCCTGCTCAGATGAGTCACGAGCCCCTGTCACCCACAGGTGCTAACAGGCATGTCTGTCTGTTTTACGTGCGGATGACTAAAGTCTGGGCTGAGCTGGTATGTGTTTTATTATATGGGTGTCTTATAATTTCACTCATGGTGATGACTTACCTCACAAAAGACTGAGACGTCAACAAACTCTAGGCTGAATGTGAAGGAAATGCATGCCTATTTCATCTAAAATCACAAAGTAAAAGAACAAAAGCATATATTGCAATGAATGCAATATTTTGCATAAATAAAGCTTATTTTTAATAATAATATTTTTAATTTAAGCCATTCCAGAGCTTAAGGATGCTTTACAATAGTGGTGCATTAAGACAATGACAGTTGTATGCAAACACAAATGATGATGATAATGACATTACATACTTTTTTTGCATGCATTACGACGTTCACGACAATTAAGCACATTTAACTCCCAAATTATATGTGTGTGTGTGTGTATTTTGCATTATTCTTCATTATGCTCATCATTATTCAATAGATTATTACAAAAAATACTGTAATACAAATAAAAAATATATTTCATTAATCTGCATAAATGTTGTACAACAAATAAAATTTGGATAGTATATTATAGGATTTTTTTTTCATAACAGATTGTAATTTGTGTAATTGTCATTAAATCAATGTTTAAAATATGGTCCAAATTTTTTTCCCCACAAGATCTATCCATTCCAGACACACGATACTCTATTGATTTTAGTTCCAAAATGCAGTGCAGGATATACTGTAGATGTATTATAAAACAGGTGATAATCTTCAAAGTACTATACAATATAACCTATCCGCTTCATGCTATAAAATCACTGAATTCATAAAATCACATGTTTTTGTTCATACTGGCTGCATTTGTTACAAAGTTAACACATAAGTGTTACCATGAACACAGATAGAGACAGCATGTGGGCGATTTCATTAAAACTGAAAGTCAATCCATCCAGATTCATATCATCTCTGTGTCTGCTGTAATGAGTTATTGGTGCACGCCTGCAACCTCTTCTCACATCACCTGTATGAGAAAAGCAGAGCCGCAGGCCATAAACTATCCAGATCCTGCATGGAGCCATGTGTTATGACAGGCTTAGAGTGGGTTATATTACTGTGAGACAATAAAAACAGGAGTTCAAGTCTGTCTCATGGATCTTCATGGATCTGCATTCATCAGCCTCAGAATCAGAGACAATGAGAGCTAATGGAGTCCTCCATGAAGCACAGGGCACTGAATGTACCAGTTTCCACCAAAATACTAGGTGTTTATTGGTTGTACAATAAAAATAGGGAAACCCTGTCATAAACAAAATGATAGAAAGATTATGTTTACTTACCAACGTTATTGTTTGAGGGAGGCCGCATTCATTTATTATGATTTTTAAGGTGGTTTGACTAACGTTAGATCAAATGCGCTGTAAAACGGTTATACGCCCTTTAAAAAGACGCTGTGCAGACCTAGTGAGTATGTGAATAAAACACATGCTGTAGGTAGAATAGAATAGCTTCTGTTTATAGCTAAACCATCTCAGCAACAAGCTGGTGATGTTCGGTTCGTGAGCGAATCGTTCTTTTGAACCGATTCTTTTTAGTGAGCTGGATAAACACTTTGGTTTCTATGGCCTGCACTGACTCCTGCTGTTCACTACTGGTAACAGCAGGGAAACCCACACAGTCAGAAATATATTAAAATCTCATTACATGTTTTTGCATTATAACTTTATTGTATCATAAAATAAAACATCAAAGCAGGGAAAATTTTTTATCAATCAATGTGAGAGCAAACTTTGAACAGACAGCAGACACAAAGCACCTTTGAGATATTGTGTAAAAATACACTTATCACATTGGACTTCAGGAGTTATGAAACATTATGAAACAGACAGAACACTGCATAAACTACACCGGACACGTATTCTGTAAACCTTCACCCAATAAAATTAAATTAAATGAGAGATTCCCCAACTTTAACAATTGCATTGCTAAATATACAATACACAAAAAGTGTTGTATACATGATATTATTATATAAAATAGCAAAATCAATCATTTGATATACTCTTTTTTTGAGGTGAGATTGTTCCACTAGTTTTTTCAGATCACATTTCATCTTGATGATGGGCTTTATATTATTGGGCATAATCTTACTTGTAAGGAATTTATGCCTATTACATAAATTAATGAAAATAAATCTGCGGATTTTCTTTTTATTCACATTATGACATCATTCCCTGCTACAGTATATACACCATTCCTCTAATTCAATTTACAGTGTTGCTTTTTTAAGTGAAGTGTGTAATTTATGCTCAACCACATGGATTTGCAAAAATAATGATTATTTAAAATAAATTGTTTATGGGGTGTTATTGTGCTTAACCTTGCTTGTAGGGAACTGATTTCACTTGACAAAAAGAAAACAGTTGTTATATAAGCTTAACTTTAACTTATTTGTGGGCTATAACTTTTTTCATCAAGTTAAATAAACTGTTCATCTACATGTTTCAGATATTGTTACTTAACTCTCATAATTTCCTGATGTTTTACAGTGTTTGTTAAAGGTGAAGCATGCAATTTCTGCTGCAGATTCAGTATTTTATCACACAAAAAATGACACACATCACCTTTAATAACAGACGTTTGTGCGAGTTTCCCGTAACCGGCAGTTCCCACACGAATGCCAACCAGTCCAGGCCAGAGGAGGCCACAGTGTCGGTCACGGTCGCTGCTTTTAAACGGGTGAAATGCGATCACATCTGTGCGATAAGGCTCATATGAAGCACTGTGGCCCCTGAGGTCTGAACTGTGATAACCCTTCTCTAGTTCTCTACCACTGTTGGCTAGTTGCTTTTGGCCATGCTTTTGGTCTTCAGCTCAGCCAGTTTGCTGGTGACAAAGTTCCACTTGAAGGCCGGTGTGTCTTCACTCCCTCCTGCGAGTGTGCTGTACTTGGAGAAGCTGTTCCCCGCGCCTCCATCTCCCTCCTCCTCCTCCTCTCCCTCCTGCCCGGCCTGGTGTTCGACGTCTTCAGCTCTCGCCCCGCTCTCCTCCTCCTCCTCCTCCTGTCTGCCGTCTCCTCCTGCCTCCTCGGCCTCCGCCTGCTTCATCGCAGCTGCCTGCTGCCACTTAGTGGAAAAGTTATCCCAGAATCCAGTGTTTCGCTTGTTGGGTCGTGGAGGCTCCTCCGGCTTCACTGCCAATGGACTGTATGGACGATAAAGGAAACAACATAGGCCTACTAGCAACTCGCAATTACATTCTTTCTGTTTAAATAAAGGTTTTTGCAAGAAACATAACCACTGCTGTTCAAAGAAATTGAGTCCTTTTATTCAGCGAGGATGCATTAAATAAATCAAAATGGACAGTTAAGGCATTTATAAGGTTAAAAAGAAATGCGGTTCTTTTGAACTTTCTTTTCATCAAAGAATCCTGAAAAAAAATGTAGCACATTTTCTACAAAAATACAACGCAACTGATTTCAACATTGCATATGAATTCAACATTATAGCGAGGAATAGCTGTCATTTCACAGAGTAGGTTAACTATAGACCCGATATAGCCCGGCTATGAGTAACCCACTTCTAGCCAAAATAACCTTGAATTTGTTTACATGTCGTTTTAGCCAAAATAACTTGTGAGATGTATGATATTCCATGTAAGCAAAGTCAACGGTGATGACAAGGAGTTTGGTTTCATTTCTTTGACATGTTCTGTGGTAGCCTGAGCATCTGTAACTGGTTTCTGTCATTTGAACAGTATTTTACTGTAATATGTACTGTAAGATACTGTAAAATGTTGATACAGTTTGTTACTGTAAACAGCAAAGGATTAGGAAAATAAATGGTTTATAAATCATTAAATGGTTCAGGACCTAGTTATATTTCGGACTTGCTTGTAAGCTATGAACCATCTAGACCTCTCAGATCATCTGGGACAGGTCTGCTTGTTGTCCCCAGAATTAGATCTAAAAAGGGGGAAGCAGCGTTCAGTTTTTATGCGCCACATATCTGGAATAAACTTCCTGATAACTGTAAGTTCGCAACAACTTGCAGTTCTTTTAAATCAAGGTTGAAGACCTATTTATTTAATGTTGCTTATTTTTAACCTATTTATTTATTTACTGTACTGTATTGTAAATCTTATTTTTAATGTTGCTTTTAAATTTTATGTTTTGTACTTTGTAAAGCACCTTGAATTGCATCACTGCTGAAACGTGCTATATAAATAAAAATTGCCTTGCCTTGCCTGTAAATGTTCTCTACTGTAAATCCATTTACAGTAGTGAACTTGTCCGCGAAAAACTTTATTACCTAACCCTACCCCTAAACCTATTGGGCAATGGATAGATGTCTAGTAAATTGTCACTGACAGCCCAAATGTTGCCTTGTTTCAGCATAGACGTTAGGGCTGTGTTTGGACGGCTATTAGACATCTTATAAAAGCAAAATTGTTTGCTGGGTGATAATAATCAGAAATGTTTCTATATGTAAATCAGCATATTAAAAGGACACTGAAGACTGGAGTACCGGTAATGATGCTAAAAAGTAATCTTTGCATCACAGGAATAAATTACATTTTAAAACATATTTAAAATAGAACACAGCTATAAATTGTAATAATATTTCACAAAATTACTGCCTTTACTGTATTTTTGATCAAATAAATGGTGAGCAGAAGAGACTTTTTTAAAAATCGTGCCAACTTTTGAACAGTAGCATGAATCGCACAAAAAAAGTAAGATGTTTGACCATTTTTAGCTCTTGTGTAACTGTGAAATGGTACTTGTATTTTCCCTGTCTGCTGCAAGCAGTTTTAATACAGAACAATTAGTGAATAAAACAGGCTTTTCAAGTAGGAAGATGGAAACTTGTCTTTTCATCGCAACACTCACTGATCTGCTGCCGGCTGGGTCTCTGCCTCCAGAAGTTGGTGTTCATCATCCTGGGTGAATAGAGACGAAACACTTTTCCAACCTTTGGCTCCGGCTCCCTGCATCTGAGGAGGAATACACACACATTCACACACTCAAACCAACAAACATCAGTATGTCTATATGCTGTTGACATGAAATGCCCTGAAGTGTGACATACTCTAATTCATCTAAAAAAAATTGTGTAACAAATTTTTTATGTTAGTGGACAAATATGAACTTACCCTGCACATGTGTTTGAAGCACACTCTTACAGTGTGCAGTAGATTTGATCTTATTTATTCAATAAAACTTACTCTCTTGGCCAGCTGTGTCATTGCATTGGGTCCTTCATCAGTCTGGATAGGTATTATATCTTCAGCCGCATCACTGACCTTCAAATATTAATCAAAGACAAAGTTATAATGGGGACACTAATATTATAATATTATTGATCTGACTCTACTGACACTGTTGTATATGAACTGAACAGAGCTGGACGATGACATCGCCGTTTTCTGCAGAACTGCTTTAAATATGAAATGAACTAATTTAATAATGATCTTTACAACGGAACTGAATCAACACTGAGCTGACTTCAGCTGAACAATGACGGTGTTTTCTTTTAGAGCTGTTTCCATGTTCCTGTTATCACTGTAATAAAGTAGATAAAGTGAGTTTACATAATTACACTGTACACTGAACAAAATGTTTTTTTTTTTTAGTTTAGTTTAGTTTTAGTTAATTATTGAATCCACCTAAATACAATGATTTATACCAACATAACAAATTGTTATGCGTTAAATCAATCAGGTAGAAATAGCTCTTTAAAGTAGCAATTGCAATTACCACTTATTACAGTGCTTACATATACATGAATGAACTTGTGGTGTTTAGTGAAACTACAGCAGGTCCTTTTAAAGTCACCATGAAATAAATTGACTATTCTTATTTTTTATGGAATATTGCAGTATTTGTTGATGATTAATGATTTATAATCATTTTATTTTTAAATTCATGTGCCTAATCTGTATTACTCCATGCCGACTTTAATGCAAGGATGAACAAAAATGTCAAATAATACTATTATTGCCCCTGTAAAAACCATCAAACTCCAGCTTGACCAGTGGAAATCTGCCTGGTGGCCAGCTAAGACCAGCAAACAATCAATACAATACTTTTAAATTACTTTTATGAATTTGGAGCAACTCCCATCATGCATTTACTTTATGCATTTAAGAGTCAGCGCTGAAAGAAAATAAAAGCATGCATCCGATGTTTATCTTGAATACGATGCTGTAATCTGTTGGCATTGTTGTGTGTTGTAGCAGACTACGGAAACTATGCAAGTTCACACTGGTAAGCGAGAGGTTTCACAGACAGGCGAGAACTGTGGGGAATCTGCCAACAGGTCCAACACACCCAGAGTATGTTATCCGTCTCCAGTCAACCACTGGAATGCCATCCTAATCCTATCACTGACTCCTGTAGATCCCGTTACAGGGCCTTTGAAAAGCGGGCAAGGTTTCCCTTGATCAGATAGTTGAAAGAATGTTTCAAATATTCGAATGCATCCAGAAACTCAAAAGTGCATTCATCATTAGTGCTTTAAAAACACATGCTCGAGCCACTCAACATATAGTACAGGAACTGAGGAAAAAACGGTCTATAATCAAATAAGAATCGACAAGAATAAACTAATAATTGATGCAATTTATATAGCCTAGCTGGGTCTTATTTGATCTTTTACTTTATTTTATATGGATGTCACTCAATGCACTTAAAGTGTTTGATTAAGACATTTTGTGACATTATTTCTTTGGTAAAGTTGGGAGAAATCTAACGTTGAGCACTGATAGCGTGCATTCATATTCATGCATATTCATGCGATCACTCAGAGGCCCAGGATATACTGGACCGACTGATGTATTATAAATACAATTGTGTTATGTATATAAATCCACCACTGGGAATCCTGCTTTTCTAGATATCGGTATCGCCATTGGTCATTGAAAAACTGCATAAATATTTGCCATATAGTTGAAACTTAGGATTTAATTGTTCTTTCCTAATTTAAATGTTTGTCGATTCACTCAGAGCAATTACTTTAGGTTTATCTTGCTCATTACAAACAGCTGTTAAATATTTGCCAAATAAACACACTCAAAAATATTTAGGCCTAAATTCAAGATTTATGCAACTGAATTGCATATAAAAATGCTATCCGTTTGGATATCTTTAACATAAACAAACTAAACTTTTAAGTAAGATTTCTGTAATGTGTTTTAAACACACAATAACCAGGTTTATATTGGTTTTTAATAAATCCAATCTCTATAACATACTAATCGATTGCTTGTTCAACAGCCAACCGTATTTGAACCATGTTCACACTTTTTAACTGAATAAATTAAATTAAACACATTCTAAGAAATATGAACAAATGCCTTTTGAAAATATGATGAAGTGAATAAAACCAAATAGATGCAAATAGGTAAATTACTTTTGAGTGCACAAATCTTACCCATTTCATCCATGTATTATGACAAATATGCATCACATTACGTTTCGTAGTTTGTTTATGTTAAAACGCTGTAATCCAAATGGATGCAATTTGGATTTTATATGCAATTCAAATACATAATACAAATCTTGATTGTAGGCCTAAATATGTTTTAAAGTGCATTTTCACTCATATCTGACCACTGCTGCTGTTCTGGGATGTACCTCTTCCACCGGTTCCTCGTCCAGATCCGGGTTGAGGGTCTTCATGACTTTACTCTTATAGACTTTCCACATGGGATTCATGACGGACACCTTCAAAAACTCCTCAGATGTGCACAAAAACAATCCGAGATATCTCTAAGCCACCCAGCCTGAGTTTAGATCTAAATCTCTAACAATATTCCTGTTCCATCTGTAAAAGACAATCAGTTTTCAGCAAGCTTCTCCTCATTGTCTTTATGCGGACACTTTGAATGAAAAGACAATTCGGGCTGCTAGTCGAGTCCTTGAGTTCAGTGTGCAGTAGATGACAGGGGCAGATGCAGAGGTGAACGCAAACACACACACACACACACACACACACACACACACACACACACACACACACACACACACACACACACACACACACACACACACACACACACACACACACACACACACACACACACACACACACACACACACACACACACACACCGCATCGGTTACCTGGAAACAGGTGTGGGTTTCCTACTGAATATTTCAAGCAGCTCTGCTATTAGTTGAGCCTTCATTGTTGGCTGCTTTACGAAGAGCAGGCCGTGTAACATTAACCCTGCAGAATGAACATATAGACACCAATAAGGTCAGATCTTTGGTTGTGACAATGTGCTATTTATTATATTATTATTATTATTCAAAAGACTATTCAATAGTTGTTCTTTGAAAACACCCAAAAAAGGAATGCGGTTTTAAATACACAAACACAAACCTCGACAGGTGAACATGCCCAGATTATAGCCTTTCACCCTGAAATTAAAAGAAAGTAATAAAAGAGAATATAGCTTTAAAAAAAGAAGTATGACAATTAAGCACATTTTCCTCAAATTATCATAATTGGAAAGTAGTGTTTCTCAACTGGTTTCATTTTGGGACTTTTGCATTGAATATCAAGCAACGACCCAACATCACTAACACTGTTTATTGTACCTTTATTAGAAAATTGCGGTCAGATTTGTAAATCCAGACACACACACAGCAGCAGAAGTGACATCAACAACAAATGATGAGGTGAGAGTTCCTCACTTTTAGAAACTAATACGACTTTGGAATACTATGCACAATGTTAGTTGCCTTTTATTATTACTTTTCCTGCTGTCTGTGATATGCATCAGAACAGACTTTATTTTAAAGACATATTTTACCCAAAATTTTTATTACTGTAATGCATCCATACATTTTGTTTTTGAGTTTTTTTATTATTAATTGAAATAAAGCTGAAATAAAACTTAAAATTAAAAAAACTTAAACAAAAACTAGAAATGTTGCCTTAATTAGCAACTAACTGAAATAAGTTGAAGTTGAAGTACTAAAATTATGAAAACTGAAATAGAATTAACTCGAAATTGAAATATAAAAATAAAGTAATAAAACTGGCAAAGCACATCATAAAATTACATATAATAAATAATAGGCTACTAAAATAGCACCAATTATTTTACTAAAATAAAATGATTTATTTTAATTATATTAAAGACAGTATAGCAAATGTATCATGATATATAGGCTAAATATGATACAATATAAATAAAATATCATAAATACCATTAGGATTTTTTTTGTCTTTTTCACTTTACAGTAAAGAGAATTTGGGGTAAACTATGTCTTTAAAATAATGTCACGATACAAAAAAATCTTAATGGCCCTCAAAGTCCCTTTTCTATATGCTTAATTCTCTATTTCTTTCTCCTTTTCTGTATAATTTTTTTTTTATGGGATAAAATGTGACCAGGACATGTTTTAGTGAGATTCATACCTTTTAATTTGAAATTATTAATAGCCACAGTCACAGATCAGACAAACATCTGAAAATAAAAAGAAAGCGCTGATCAAACCGAGGGTTATTTAAAGTTGACCTCTACCTCTGTGTGTTTTCAGAAGAGGGGGTCGCTGACCTGCGCTTTCATAATTACTATAAGAGCCAGCGCATAGAGTCCAGCTACCAGAATGATAATGTTTGTTGTGTAATTTCACCTGACACATTAGTTTCCTGTAGCTTGTTTCTTGTTAACCTGATCTGAAGTATCCAACGCAATATAGGGAGACAGACATTATTAAAAATGTATGCTTTTCAGGTGTCATTTACCTTTGGAACAGATGCCGATCACTTTATCCTAGAGGACAGTTTATAGCTTTTCAGTTTACTGTTTAGACGCACAGCCTTTACTTTTATTGACACATAACTAAATCTGAGACATATATTTGAACCTGGAGCTTAAAGCGTTTCAATGCCTTAAGTCATTTTCTTTAAATGCAAACCAGATAAGGCTTGAAACCATTGCGATCGTAACTTTCAAGTATAAGTTAGAAACCATTTCGGAGATACTCGCATCACATACAGAACTGGCAGATCTCTCTGAGAACAAGCGCTCTTGATGTGCTGCATTGAGTTTCACTAGTTTCCATTATTCAGAGGGCTCTGGCACGGCTATTCATGCCTGGGAACCAAATCCTCCTTCTGTCGCGCACCCAGATCAACCAATCACAACAACAGCCCAGGCAACTGTGAACATCCAATAATCAAATCATCTGCATGCAAACTTTCATTTGCATGTGGTTACAAACCAGATAGTTGTTCCAAAAACCCAGCTCGACTTCTTTAAATGAGCTGTTTACCCAAACATGACAATTCTGTCACCGTTTGGTTGAATTACGGTTGCACATAAACCTCTAACAATGTAGTCATTAAGTCCTCAGACTGGGGTGTGTGCAAACTAATTGGGGCCATTGCCTATGACAGTTTACAGGTGGGGCCCTACAAACCCAAGGGTCGACATAAGTGTACACATTAAAGCCTTTCCCTGACAGGGTTGAGCACGATTTATAGGCACCAACAAGATGTTTAAAACTCCACATTTATCAGAAGAATTACATTTGACAGCTTTGACATCATTCTTTGCCCGTTTGAACCTGATCCTGATCATCATCTCTGAATGATGATGTTTATGTCATCTGATAAAACTTTACAATCAGAGCTGAGGAGAGCGGCACGGCTAAAGGAAAGCTTGAAAACTTGAAACCTCTACAAAGAACGTTTTGTAAAGTCAAAATTTGAACTCTTTGGCTTTAAATCAAAGCTATTGGCACAGATCCTGTCAAGCGATGACAACATCATGTTTGCACACCTAAAAGTGACCTTAGAAACACCCAGTGTGACTCAGCTGTTTATTTGATTTAATTTATTTCACCTTTATTTGACTTCAGAACACAATTCTTATTTATGACACCCTGGGAAGAAAAAAAATGCAGTTTAAATGTGGGGAAAGTGACTGGAGAAACTGAAGAGATTAATATTCGTGATCCTTTAATCCTTAAACATATGAATTTATGGTGATTCATGGCTGAAAATTGGGTTGCAGGTCTGTTGTAGGATTACAGTGGGAAAAAGCAACGTAATTACATGTTACATTACAATGTATGTTCTGTACTTTTATTTTAATTTTATTTTTGTTGGGTTTCCACTTCATGTCCAGTGAAAAAAATGAAGCAAAGAGTGGATCCTTCAGCAGGAATCATCAAAACTGTTATTTAACTGTTATTGTCTGATAAAAACTCTCATTAAAACATACCTTCATCATTTATTTTTACTCATTTTTTAAATACCATTAATCTGTAGTTTTGGTGTCCTTTCCACCAACACTTTTCCCCTAATAATGTTTGTTTGTTTGTTTGTTTACCAAACAATAGTCAGTGAATAGCTTCTAATTGTGATCAAGGTAAATATCACTTGTTGTCAAAATATTTTATTATGCATTATTTCTAATCAAGTCAGATAAAAAAAGTGTGACATGATTACTTTTTTATGATAACTATACAATGACAATAGAGCAATCAGATAAAATGAACACAACCGATCTGTACTTACTACTTTATGTTCTATGAACAGTGCAAATGTTACAGCATTGACTATACCAGTGAGGATGTGCTATAGGCAATATTTCACAGACAGTCTTGAAGCGTAAATGATAGCATGTCAGTCAATTTGTCAGTAGGCAATATAAATTACAGAAACTGTCTCAGTCTCACAGAAGGGCTGGATTGGGATTAAAGCCTGGGCGTTTTAGGGTGAGCCAGTATTTATTAGAACGACACCCATAACCAGAGATTCATTCTCCTCAGACACGCTGGGAAACTTCTTCATTTCTGCTGACTACTGCTTTTAGAGGTACTTATATGTATGCGATTTACCCGCACAGTAATTCTAAACATTTATTGATTAAAACAGATCTAATAGAACTTGGTTGTGCGTCATGATGAAGAAGACATGTCCACCTCTAAATCTGCTGTTATTCAAACTACTGTTTCTTGCTCAGCTTGTGAAAATGGAGCATTTGACTGCAGCAAACACACAGTTCTCCCTCGACCTGTTCAAGAAGATCAGCGGAGGAAACGCATCAGGAAATGTGTTCTTCTCTCCTGTCAGCATCTCCTCGGCTCTGGCCATGGTGTCGCTCGGTGCAAGAGGAAACACAGCGGCTCAGATGATTAAGGTGATCTCACACTTATGTAGTATGTTTAATGGCCAGTTGTTTTTCCTTTAAACAAAAGGACAGGTTTTTATACATGGAATGTATCAAACACTGATTATTAATATTTGTTGTGTTGAAATTCTACATTCATTCAAATGGAATTCAAGCCAGGATTCTCGATTCCATTTAGAATGTTGCCACAATCCTGTGATTTTTTCCTGTGATGATGAGATTTGTGCATGTAGAGACATAACGTAGTCTAATGTCGCAGTTTCACATAAAGGCCAGGACACTGAAAAATATGATCATTATGGGTTGGGCTGTTTCGGTTGTTACAGTTTCAGTTGTGAATTAACGCTCAGTCTGTGTCATTTGAATTGAATAAAGATACCAACGTGTATGGAGTAAATCGAGGCTTGGATGTGCATCAGTGTTTTAAACTATCTGAGCAGAGCATTCACAATAGATATTGAAGTTATCAGAATAGTGAGGTTATCTTTATTAATTCTACCCACAATAATGCTGTGCAGGTCTTGGGCTTTAACAATCCTCCCAAACCCGACGCCGCGACTCCAGGACAGCATCAACCAACCCAAAAGCCCAAGATAACATGTGGCGTCAAGGGTCAACATGAACCCCCAATAACGCAACAAACCCAGAAGTTTGAGATACCTGCCGAACTCAAGGTTTAGAATGAGTATACATTAAACACTAAACCTCATGACTTAATGATTGTAATAACAGCTATATTTGCTGTAGTGGTTTTTCAGTTGATCTTGCTATTTTTAATGCAGCTGATTGATATTGTTGATGCAAACAGAAATGTCCTACTCAGCCGGTACCCGGACAAAAAACTGAGGACCAAATTCATTCTAGTTTCAACAAGTTTATGAGAGAGCTGAACAAACCAGGAGTCCCGTATGTGTTGAGTCTTGCCAACCGCCTCTACGGAGAGCAATCCTACCAGTTTGTCGAGGTAAGACTCAAATCAAATAATCCTAGGTTTGCTCATGTTATTAAAGGTCAAGGTTCTGGAAATGTTCTCAACTCTAATATCATTTGCACCTCAATCGGTTTGCTGTGTTACAGAAATTCCTCAATGACGCAAAAAGCTACTATGAAGCCGGACTGGAGAAGGTGGACTTCAAGAACAAATCAGAGGCTGCTCGTGTCAACATCAACAAATGGGTGGAGAAAAAAACACAAGGTGAAATCCAGTATAATCTTATTCTCAGTTTTAAACTTACTCTAAACTCTTACAAATAAAAGTTATTTCATGTTTTTGCAGCACTTAAGGTTCAGCGAAAATGTCTTTTCATGGGCCATGTTTGGCTTCATGCGTTCTTGAGTTGAGCTGTATAGTAAAAATATAAACCCAACCAGTTCAAATCACTGCTCAAAGTGAACAATGTCCATTTGTATTTTAGAGAAGATCAAGGACTTGGTGCCACAGGGAGCCATCGATGGGATGACGAAACTGGTTTTGGTGAACGCCATCTACTTCAAGGGAAACTGGGAGAAGAAATTCCCAAAGGAAGCCACCAAAGATGGGCAGTTTAAGCTGAACAAGGTGAGATTTCATGCTCTTGTTTTTTTTCTGCCGTATTTTTAATTGTTTGTGCAGTAACAGTCAGGAAATATGAGAGGTTATAATGTGTTTCCATTGAAAATTGGTAGAATCGAACCAAGCCAGTGAAGATGATGAATCAAAAGGCGCAGTTTCCTCTGGCCTTCATCCCAGAGATCAACAGTCAGGTTCTGGAGCTGCCGTATGTCGGGAAGAATCTCAGTATGTTGATCATCCTTCCGAACGAGATGGAAGACGACACCACTGGCCTTCAGAAGGTGAGACAGCACAAATTCTGCTTGTAAACACTCTTAAAAATTGGCTCCTAGGGATGTTTTTGCGGCGATGAAATGGAAGAACCATTTTGGGTTATTTCAAGAACCTTTTTTTTTTCTTAGTGTGAATAATATTCTGTGAATAATAACCGTTTCCACTATAAAGAACATTTTGTGCTTGAAAGGTTCCATGAATGCTAAAGGTTTTTCATGGAACCATCAATGCAAATAATGAACATATTTTTATGAGTGTAGAAAAAAACATTTTGCTTCCCCAAATAACCTTTCTGTGATCAGTTCTTAAAATAACCATTTTTCTTCTTAGTATGTGAAGTTAACAAAATCTAAAGAACCTTTTCCCACAATAAAGAACCTTTTGTTGAATGAAAAGGTGGATGTTAAAGGAACCATTCCTGCCAATAAGAACATTTTCCTGTTAGGTTCAAATGGTTTTAAGAAACATTTATACAATTTTTATGTAAAACATACATTAACATGACTGGTTTATCTAGATTGAAAAGGCACTGACCTACGAGAAATTCATGCAGTGGACCAAAACCAGCAACATGCGTCAACAAGAGGTTGACGTATCTCTGCCCAGATTCAAGATGGAGGAAACTTACAACATGAAGAGTCTTCTGATCAGCATGGGAATGGAGGATGTGTTTGACGAGACGAAGGTGAATCTTTCAGGCATGTCCTCCAACAACAACCTGGTGGTGACGAAGGTGATCCATAAAGCCTTTGTTGAAGTCAACGAGGAAGGAACCGAAGCGGCTGCAGCCACCGGCGTCGTCATCGCAATACGTTCCTTTCCACAGATGTTTAACGCAGACCACCCGTTCCTTTTCTTCATCCGTCATAATCCCTCCAATGCCATTCTCTTCTATGGACGCTTCTGTTCTCCTTAAAGATGATGACATGATGATTCTAGATGACTGTTTTCCTCTTATAAATAAAGTCAATAGTAAATAATTGAGTGAAACTGTCTATATGCATTTACTATATATATATAAAATCACGTGAGTTAAGTGTTTACACATTTACTTATTTACTTGCTATTTTAAAATTGGAAGTTATTAACACATAGGTATAATAATTGCATGGACTTCGTTGCATATAGAGTTAAATGTCACGTGCATGCTCACAGTTATGTTTAGTAAGAATGTATCCTTCAATATTGATATAGCAACATTAATTGTATGGAAGGAAGTGATAAAAGTTTATTTTGAAAAAAATTCTTCACAGCAGCTAGAGGGGCCTTTACCCTCCATTCATATAATATATCATGTCAAATTTTTATAGTGGCAAAAGTATTGTGGAAGTTACTGATGCTAGCTGTCTGACACATGCTAAAAAACATAAATCTGGAACACAATGAGAAAAGTCTATGTTGCATGGAAAAGACTGTGTGCCCTCTTGTGGCCTTGAGTTGCGCTGACAAATATGTCATCTTTACCTTCTTTACCTGTAGAGGGAGTTCAAACCCAAACATTAAACAGATTTAGTCTTGTTGCAGCCTTATGCTAAAAAATGTTCCATCATTTTTTATTTTTTAAACTTCATACACAACACTCCATACTCTATACTTATGCAATTTAATTATTTAGCTTTTTGCTTTTTAATAAATTAGCAAATTATTACAAATCTGGCCCTTGACAAATCATTGCAGAATAGCAAATAATTCTGGGGTGTAGATTGATGCGAAAGAAATGAGGGTATGAATACTTTTGCAAGGCACTGTATAAGTGATCTGTATAAAAAATTAGACCCACTAAAGGAAATACAAAAATAACCACTTAAACCAGAGATTGTCTTGGTATTGGGAGATGATAGGGTTTGTGGCTCTTACCATTGGAAAAAGGCTAACTTGAATCACATGAGGCACCTCAGCCTATCATATAATGGCAGTGACGTCAGTGACCAGAATTTAGAGTTTTATGATAGTCCGTTATAGTTTACATTACACAAAGTTTATTGTGGATTAGCACGTCAGTCTTGTGAATAAATGTTCTATATTGGGTTGTATATCACTAAACGTACAGTGGGTCTGCAATGTTTGTGGGATCATTATTAGGCATACACCGCAGTCATAAATCATTACAATTCAAGTCTAATTCCTTTGTTGAAACCTGGAAGCCATAGAGAGAACAAATCATTATTTTAATTATTTTTAATTAAACAACAATATAATACAATATTTATAATTCAATTATTAATTTTCTCTTTATTCATTATATGCATTATATCAGTATCATAGTGCATGGCAGTTATAGTCATTCAAGTCTTATTATAATTGGTAAAACCTGATATCCAAAGAACAAAATATCACTATAATTTATAATATACACAATAATACTCAATATTACTCCATGCCTATATTATTAAATACTACACAGTTGCTGGTGGTGGTAATGCCGTAAATGAGCTCTTCCTTTTGCGACATTCCCCACTCTGCCTTCTCTTAAAAAATAAAAATGTTATCAAGTAAAACCTACATATAGATCCCAACGGAAGTATTGGTTAGTGTAAAACATGTTGAAGTTTAGCGAACAGGCTGTCGATTCATTAAATGATAAGCTATTTCCTCACAAAAACCGTTTATTCAGCTTAGTGGAGCCTCTCCTCCATTGATATCCATTCAAAAAACGGCCTCTTCATTCCTTCCCTGCGTTAGCTTTAACAGTTACGCTTTTATGGCTAAAGGTTTCAGGCTTGCCTTCCAGTGGCTTTGCTTAAACCATCTTCTTCTTCCTTTGCTTCTCGCCTGTTATGCAGTGGTCTTCACTCCCTGAACAGCTTGTTTGTGTCAATCTGCCCATCACAAGAGAAACATGTCTTTCAATTGGTTTCAAGTTTTCATTCTTTTATTATTTTTTCTGTACAAAATAAGCCTCCTGAGTCAGCGTCGACCAACAGAATCGCATTCGTGTGGAGGTGAGATTCGTCAGCGGCAGCACAACCTGACTAAAACTCTGAATGAATCGCCTGTAAAAATGGGCAAACCACAGAAATCGCTGGACCACCTTACGACTATCTGGGGTGGGCCAATCAGCAACCGCTTTTACCTTGGCAGGATCCATTCAGATGCCTTCGGGCGATAGAACGAAACCCAAGAAAGGAACCGACCTTGGGTGAAACTCGCACTTCTCCACCTCAGCAAACAAACAGTTCCCGAGTAGCCGCTGTAACACTCACCTGACTTGATGGACATGGTCACGCTCTTTCCGGGAGAAGATAAGGATGTCATTGAAGTAAACAAATACAAACCGGTCGACCATGTCTCTGAGCACGTCGTTGACAAGTGCCTGGAAGACCGCCGGAGAGTTTGAGAGTCAGGGCATAACCAAATATTCAAAGTGACCTATGGGGGTATTAAAGGTGGTCTTCCATTCGTCCCCCTCCCTAATCCAAACCAGGTGATAAGCATTGTGGTGGTCCAACTTCGTAAAGATTATCACTCCCTGTAAGAGTTCAAAAGCTGAAGACATCAACGGCAAAGGGTGGCTATTCTTTACTATGATGTCATTCAGCCCCCGATAATCTATATAGGGATGCAACGACCCATCTTTCTTCCCCACAAAGAAGTAGCGCGCCCCAGCCGGAGAGGAAGAAGGACGTATTATGCCAGCAACAGAGAATCGCTGATGTAACTCTCCATGGCCTCCCTCTCAGGACTGGAGAGTGAGTAAAGGCACCCTTTAGGTGGAGAAGTGCCAGGCAATAAATCTATCGCACAATCATATGGGCGGTGTGGAGGGAAAGATGAAGCTCGGGACTTACTGAACATCGTTATCAAGTCATGGTAAGTGTCCGGTACATCCACCAATTTCACCAGTTCCTCTTGTAACGCAAAAACAGATATTAAAGGAGATGATGCAGAAAGTAAACACCGAGATAAAAAGAATAAGCTCCATGCCAACACAGAATTAAGAGCCCAGTCAATGTGAGGGTTATGCTTAAAGGTTGTATCAGTGATTTTCAGGCCAAAAAATAAATGATCACATTCATTTAATCTTTCCTAACGATCCGCTAGCTGCCCGCCCCATAAGCAGGCTGTCAAAAAAACGCGTCTCTGTGGGCAGCCTAGGCTCTGAGATCTGCACACAAAAACCACCACTCAAAACCAAAATAAACAGTGTTCCAACCAATCACCGACAGGGGCGGGTTTTGCTCTGACTTCGCATCCAGCCTGTGCACGAGCGCAAAACCTCACAACACCCGCCCCTGTCCGTGATTGGTTGGAACACTATGTATTTTGATTTTGAGTGGTGGTTTTTGTGTGCAGATCTCAGAGCCTAGGCTGCCTACTACCCCTTTTCCACCAAAAACGAACTGGTTCGGAACTGGTGCTGGTTCAAAGTTGGTTCGGAGTTGGTTCAACTTGCGAACCTTCTCAGAACCTGTTTGTTTTTCCACTGACTAGAGCGCCCAGCGAACGACGTCGTTACGTCACTGTGTACGTCGCCATACATCTTAGCTAGAAACGCTTGCAAGTACAACATTACTTTGGGTTTATCTCTAACTCGTGAACCAAGAAGGCTTTAAAAACAATTGAAATATGTAAGTCTTTTAATCTTTTCCTTTGATATGTAATCTTTTCTGATTAGTTATGTACTCCTGTCTTGTGTCTTTTTTTCCCTTCCATTTATTTGTTCTATATTGTGACTGTTTTCTCCTTTGCTTACATAACGTTTTCAATAAAAAAAATAAAAAATAAAACTAGAAACGCTTGCTCCAACTTCAAGCATAACAATTACAATGGCGGACTACATCGTGTTTCTGCAAATGTTTCTCCTGGCTTTGCGATCCTATTATGTCAGAAAATATGTTATCTAAACCCGCCCCCAGCCCCCGACGTAAGCATGACGTGGTAAAAGAACGGTTCTAGTCCAGCAAAGAGTTGGTGCCGCTTTGGAACCTGTTTTCCTGGCCGAGAACCGGTTCTTTGGCTGTCGAAACACAAAGAACTGGTTGGCGCGCAGGCACCGGCTCCGAACCGGTGTTGTGCCGAATTTCGACCCCCGCCAAATTATTACCCCCCTAGCATTGGTAGGTTTAGGATTAGTTGTGGGGGAGGGGTTAGGATTAGGGGCGGGGTTGGGATTAGGCAATCAGGTACTGACTTCAACGAGGGGGGTAATAATTTGGCAGGGGGTCGAAATTCGGCACAACACCGGCTCTCAAAATGCGTTGGTGGAAAAGCGGTTTTTTTGACAGCCTGCTTATGGGGCGGGCAGCTAGCGGATCGTTAGAAAAGATTAGATGAATGTAATCATTTATTTTTGGGCCTGAACATCGCTTATACAACCTTTAACCACCAAGGTGTGCCCCAAAACCACTGGAGTGGAAGGAGAGTAACTGTATTTAAATAGGGAAAACGTGGAGGTGTTTGGTACCTTCTCTGCTTGGCCCCTATTGAATGAACTGGGCTAGCAAAGTTTCGCCGCAAGACGATTTAGTGCACGCACTGAGACGAGAGAGGTATGTATCAACTCGTCTTAGTTAAGGGAATAACATAGTTTAATATGAAAAAACGGTGGAGTATCCCTTTAAGGTACATTTTAAATTCTTTCAAAAAAACAATAAAAATTGGTTTGTTGTTGGTAAATTTACATTTATGGATATAAACTTTTCCAATGAAATCAATTAAATTAGTAACAAAGCAGGCTTTTATTTTAGTGGGGTCAGAATCAAAGTATCCACAAATAATGTCTTTAAAGGTTACTGATATATCTTGCTGGATATTATCTTTAATATACATGTCAATATTTCCCCATAGTTGTTTGGTATAGAAACATGACCAAAATAAATGAAAAACAGTTTCAGTGTGAACTTGGCAAAATGAGCATCTTGTGTCAATATTACTTTTATATTTAATCATAAAGTATTTAACAGGGTAAAATGTATTTATTATTTTGTAGGACACTTCTTTTACTTAGTTAGAAAATATTTTTGTTGTAGGGACCAAATCTTTTT